ACAGAACTAGTATTGCTGAAATTATCACTCGAGCGAGGAGGTCAAGTATCCTGGTGCAGTGAATGCCCAGTCTGTCCCATTAAACATTTAGAAATAAGTCTGAGGCTGAAGTGAGCAAGAAGTCTAGACTATGCAGCTAATGAGGTCCAGGGTTCGAGTCTAAGACTGGGGCAAACCTACTCTGCTATCTTTGGAAAGTGGGAAGACATCTAGAGAAATCCTACACGAACATGCAAACTCCACACAGAAGGATCTAACCAAGACTCAAGAGTTGTGATGCAGTACTGCTTACTGCAATGCAGCTGTGCCCCCCAAACGAGATTAAAACCCCCCTACCCTACCCAGTCTGCTTAATAACATTATCTGAATGCATTTTACCTAAAGGTTTGGTACTGAAATGCACCATGCAGTCTCTGCATAATGCAAATAGTACTCATGCTGCAGTGGTCTAAAAGTCTTCATGTAAGCTGAGGAAGAGAAGCTAGCTAAAAGCAGAAAAGGGCTTCCAGCCCTCTCAGGAAATTGTAGTGGTCTTGTGGTGAAATAAATCTGACAGAAAGCGGAGGTGTGCAGCAGCTACAGTCTACAAATCCAGTAATGATCAAAAGAAATGCAAGCATTGCAGGGATTTCACACGTTCTCCAAGGCAGCATCTACACCCAGATCACATTCCCAGCGTTTGCCTGGGGGTCTTTGGTCTTTTGTCTTCAATTGAAATCAACTTGATTTTTTCTTTTATTGGAGTCATCACCTTATAATTCACTTGGCTCACTTCCTGAAATCCCGCAGTCCAGAAGTCAGGCCCGCAGCAGTCTGGAATAGACATAGCTTGGCTGGTGTCTTCTCCTCCTCTCCCGGTTAGGCCAGGAGCCATACCTAGCCATTATACCAAGAGAGACTGATGGAAACTGTGATGACCACAGGTGAAGTCTTTCTTTCATCACTTCTTTTAAGTTTTTGCTTATTTGTATTTATTTTCTTTAAGTTTTTTGTATCTCAGCCTGCCAGTGCTGGTAAAGAGTGCATGACTGTTAAACCGAGCAGCCATGAATTAACTGATAGGGCTGTCACAAAAGGAACAGCATGGAGCAGACAGAAGCAGTGATTGTAGGGTTGGTCCTTATTCAGTATGCCGATCCTCATATGCTGCTTGTACCGGGGATTGATGGGAAGCTTGGACTAATTCGCCTGTGTTTGCTTTTGAAGTTTCTTCAAATATCTCCGGAACAGCTTAGGCGAGATAGCAGTTCACAGAGTGTGAATTATCATGTACTTATTATCATGAGTGTCCGGTATGCAGGCATGAAATATTTCTGATTTTTGGCACTGCAGCTACAGAGTTCTGCTCAGAAATGCTTTAGGAACCTCCTGGCTTGGATAAGTTTTACTGTTAAGTCCTTTAATCATAGCATCAACGAAGAGCACCTAATTTGGACACCGTGAGTGGATGAGTTGAAACTTGACTGCAATAAAATTGTGGTAATGGTAGGGCAATTCATATAACTGATGGAGTATAAATTATGAGCTTGTTAGATTGCTTAGATAGTGGCTAAGTATGCTCAGTAAGACATGTATTTGTGATGGTAATTACGCCGATTTCACTGGCTGCGTTTAAACATGACATCTCATTCTCCGTTGAAATACTGTCTCTCACTGTAACTGACTTAAAAATACAATTTAGTTGTGTGGTAGCCTGATCTTGTCAGATCTCGAAATCTAAGCAAGGCTGTAGGCTGGTCAGCAGTGAGATAAGAGAAGACCACTTCATTAGCCATATACAATTTCTTGTATCAGGAATTTGTCTTTTCGCATGCTCCGACTTTCTCTCCGTGAGACACACAGACGGGGAGAGAAACTTGGGGTCAGAGCACAGGGTCTGCCATTTATATGGCGCCCCTGGAGCAGTTGGGGTTAAGGGCCTTGCTCAGGGGCCCAATGGAGTAGCATTCCTCTGCTGGCCACGGGATATGAACCGTTCAACCTTCCAGCCACAGGCACAGATCCTTAGCCACAGAGCCATCACACTGCCCAATGGCAGATCTCCAGGGAAACCCAGGCTGCTGCTTTAAGAGATGTTGGAGAAACAGTAGGTGCAGCTATTCCCTCTGGACAAGAGTGACCAGTATCGTGAGAAGTTGCGCCCTGCTGCAGAAGGATGAGATGTTAAACCAGGTTTCTGACTGCATGGTCACTAAAGACTCTGTGGGATTTGAAAGAGTAACCCCTAGGGGCTGAATGCCACTCTTGTCTTGAACAATATGGCCTACCTAAAGTCTGATCTTCTGTATTGTGGGATTGTTGGTGTAAACTGACTGTCACGCTTCACCTATATAGATATTGCACTTCTGTGATAGAGGAAAATATATACAGTATATGTGAAGGGCTTTCTGCTCCTCTGGGATAAGAGTGGTGTATAAAGGCAATTATTGTTTTTTTAATCTTTCTGCCAGTTTTCTGGTGGAAGACTTCTTGATTTTATCAGCTGTTCTTAATAAAAAGAACAATCATTTCCGTCCGTCAGAAACGGAGAGATTGGTCTAGAAAAGCTGCCTGTCATAGTCTGCTGTGTTATCTCCTCTTTCTGGTTATTTCACAGTTAGGAAACCGCTCCTTTGATTATACAAGATTTTGGTTTTATTGAAAGGATTAAAATTAAATGGAGTAAAGTAGTTTTTGCTGCAGACAACAATGATGTAAAGCACCAATTACAGACTCTGGAAGAAGAAGAAAAAAATTAATTTTAATACATTTGTTCTCCCTGTGTCTTTCCCCACAGGGAGAAATGGTTGTGGCGTTGGTGAGCCAGTCAGACGGTTCTGTACTAAATCTGTCGGTAGTGACCGCAGGAGGTGTTTGTGATCTTCAGCTGTTTGGGGATTGTAACAGTGCAGAAACGTTACAGAAGCCTGAGGGTGTATGGCTTCTGTCTGAGTAAAATAGAGACACAAAGGCAATTAAATTAAAACGGTATCAGAAGAGAGATGAAGACGTGCAGGGAAGGTTTTCCTTGAGTAATAACCAGTTCTCTGGTATGAAGGTAGAAGTAACCTCTAGGCGCTCCTGGGTAACAGAACAAAACATTTTTCTGTTCTTTAAGTATTTTCTCAGAGGTGGGTTTTGAGCAGCAACGTTCGACTGAAACTTGATACTTGATATTCAGATGACACGGCTGTCTATGATGACTTAAAATCAGTGAACTGACAAATGCAAAGTACACGGGGAGATGTTGAGTGGGATAAAACAATTTGGTTAATCTACAAAAGTTCCCGTAATACAAGGACCGAAACAAGGAAGAAGCTGAAATAAAATGATAAACAGACAAGTATAAAATATTTGAAAAAGGTTTGAGTGGGTATCTGTGCCAGCGTGCATAGACTGCATAAGAACAAGTAATGGTTAATTCCATGCTGAAAGGAGAAGAAAACAGAGACAACATTTCAGCTGTGGAGCCTTTTTCAGGTGTGAGGGAGAGAGGGAAACCGGCAGAGAAATAAAGCCAAGTTTAATTTGACTTTATCCGAAAGCCAAAGGAAATTTTGTCTGTATCTGTGAGTTTCCCTCACACCTGAAGAAGGCTCCACTCTGCCGAAACAGTGCATCTCCTTTTTTTTCTTCTTTTCAGCAGGGAATAAACCTTTACTTGTTCCTTTGCAAGTATAAATCATACAAGCCGAAGGCAGAATCTGTACAGCTGGATCTTCAGGAGGTTTGGGAAAGTGGAAGACGATACAGACCTGATGTGTGTGGGTATCTGGGTCCACCACAGGTTTGCCGAGGAGGAGTGACTAAGCTGTGAGCAGGAATGACAGTGGAAGGAAAGACATGATGTATGAAGATAGGAGGGGGCAGAGTAATAAAGAGCTCGTAATGAACCAGAAATCCAATTAAGTTAGCAGCTTTCCCTTTTTGGTAAAGTGGAAATTAACCAAAATCGATTGTTTCTGGAGCGAAATGCGCCTCACTTCCCCAGTGAATTGTTTCTCCCTCAT